GTCACTGGGGGGGATCTGAGGGGTCAAGGGATCACTGGGGGGTCTGAGGGGGTCATGGGATCACTGGGGAGGATCTGAGGGGGTCATGGGATCACTGTGGGATCTGAGGGGGTCAAGGGATCACTGGGGGGTCTGAGGGGGGTCATGGGATCACTGGGGGGTCTGAGGGGGTTCATGGGATCACTGTGGGATCTGAGGGGGTCAAGGGATCACTGTGGGATCTGAGGGGGCTCATGGGATCACTGTGGGATCTGAGGGGAGTCCATGACCCCCACCCCCCGGTGCAGGGGTTTCATGGAGGTCCCCAAGCCCCGCCCACAAGCCGCACCCCCCTTGCCACACCCCCACAAACCCCGCCCATACAGCCACAGGGCCCCTCCCCCTTTCCAAACCCCGCCCCTCCGCGCCCCCCCTCGCGCGCCCCTCAGGCGCCGCCCCCTCCCCTCAGAGCTTGGGGGGAGGGGGCTCAGTGGGCGGGGCCTCCCCTCGCGCGCGCCCCTCACCTGCGCTCAGGTGCCGCCGCCGCCGCCGCGCGCGCTCGCCGCGGCGGGGTGGGCGTGGCCTCGGCGGAGGGGGCGTAGGGCGAAGGGTGGGGGAGAAGCGCATGCGCGGCCGCGCCCACCCCGCCCCTTTCCCCGCCCGCCGCGTCCCCGCCGTCGCCCGGCAACGCGCGCGCCGCGCCGGCGCGGCTCCCGATTGGGCGAGGGGGCGGCGGGCGGCCAATGAGCGCGGGCGTTGTTGCGGGGTTCGCTCGCGCGCGCGGCGGGAGCGGAGGGAAAGGCTCGTGAGGGAGGCGGCGGCGGGCAACGCGCACGGGACATGTCGGCCCGGGCGGCCCTCGGCAGCGCGCAGGTGCCCTCGGCGGGACAGCGCCGCGCCCGCACCCGGCCGGGAGCAGCGGGGAACGGGGGGGGGGGGGGGGGGGGGGGCCCGGGGGAGGGGGGGGGGGTCCAGGCGCGGAGGAAGCGGGAGAGATTCCCCGGCAAAAACCTGGAGAAATTTGCCTTTTGGTGGCCAAAAACCGGGAGAAA